AAACTGTATCAAATAATATATACAATGTTATGAGAAGATTTAAGATAAATTTGCTTTGAAGTTGTGACTTGATTTAAACTCGAATTGAACAGAAGCGATCTCGGTCATATTTACAGTTTTTTGCAATTATCTCGAAAATTTGCAAAAACGTTTATTGTAAATTATATATATTGATAGAATGTAGATGAAGTTATTTATAAAAATAAAATTATCTATGAAACCGTGCCAAACAATATATACATTGTTATGGTAAATTTTTACAAAAAACCTCTTTGTATATGAGATTTGATTTAAACTTCAATTAGTGTTCAGCACGTGGGCAGTCAGTCTGAGACATTTTTGCAAATATCTCAAAAATTTCCAAAAACGTTTATAACAAATTATATATCTCTAAAAACTAAATAAAATTCTCTACAAAACCGTATCAAACAATATATACATTGCTATGAAAAAAAAATTACATAAAACCTTCTTGAATAAGTTACAACAGCGGTGTTACTCAAATTGATGGCTTTTTGCAGGACATTAAAGTTTTTCGCAAATATCTCAAAAATTTGCAAGAACATTAATAACAAATTATATATTTATAAAAATCAGATAAAATTCTCTATAAAACTGTATCAAACAATATATACAATGTTATGAAGAATTTTTACATAAAACCTCCTTGAATAAGTTATTTGACTTTCAATTTACCAGTCTTACTCACTTCTACGGTTTTTTCCAGTACATTTTTACAGTTTTTTGCAAATATCTCAAAAAATTCCAAAAACGTTTATAAAATATTATATATTTATAGAAACTAGATAAAATTCTCTATAAAACTGCATCAACCAATATATAGAATGTTATGAACAAAATTTAAATAAAACCTTCAACATGTAATATCACTTTTAAATTCATGCACCATTTTGGACTATCACAGATTTGTGCAAATATCTCAAAATTTTGCACAAACGTTTATAATAAATTATATATCTACGAAAACTAAATAAAATTCTCTATGAAACCGCATCAAATATAGAATCAATATATAGAATGTTATGGAAAATGTTTATATAAAATGTGTATATAAATCCTTGAATATACAATACTCCAATCAATTACGACCAAACTAAAAAACCTGAAAAAAAACTTACCTTATTTTAAATAAGATTTTAAAGTACACCGAGTTGCTGTATGGTCTCATAATTTTAGACAATATTATAGATTATTTAATTTTATATAAATTTAGTCCCAATTGCAAATATTTTAATAGCAAACCGCATACTTGAATACTATATGAATATATATATATATATATATATATATATATATATATATATATATTCAATAGAGTAGTCCTGGATTTTTTCAATATATTGATTGTTTCTTTTCCGAACAGTAAATCTAATTAATAGAAAACAATTTGTTTTTTGAAGATGTTTAATACGACGTTTCGGAACTAGGTACGTTCCATCATCAGGTTTATTCTGTCAAATACAATGTTTTTTAAAAATATTGATTAACATTAATTAATGATGGTCAATACAGATTAATTAGAAAAAAATTTTATAAAGGAATGGATAAAATTGAGAAGCAAAAATTATTTGCCTGTAATAATTTATATATTTATTTTTTGCTTCTTAATTTTATATAAAACCTTTTTTAGTTAATTCTTATTACTCTTTACCCCGGTACATAATCCATTCCTTTATATTTTTTTTTCTAATTAATCTGTATTAACCATCATTAATTAATGTTAATCAATAGTTTTTAAAAAACATTGTATTTGACAGAATAAACCTGATGATGAAACGTACCTAGTTCCGAAACGTCGTTATTAAACATCTTCAAAAAACAAATTGTTTTTTTATTATTGGATTTACTGTTCGGAAAAGACTTGTGGCTGAATAACCTTATCACATATATATATATATATATATATATATATATATATATATATAGATATATTATAGACCTATATATATATATATATATATATATATATATATATATTATAGACCTATAATATATATATATATATTAGGGTGGTCCTTAAAATGGTCATTTTCGAATTTCTTTGCTCCCAGGGGCTCAAATGGTTCCAAATCGATAAAAAACAATTCTCTGAAAGTTTTGGTTCTTAATATTAACGTTTAGATAGAGCGCAATTCAATCAAAGTTTGTATGGAAAGAGCATGGAAAAATTTTTGAAAATTAAAAAAAAATGTTTTAGGTATAACTTAGCGACAAATGAATGAGTTTTATTTATTCATTAGTTCGCTAAATTACATCTAAAAACCATTTTTAAAATTTTTGAAAAATTTTCCATGCTATTTCCATACAAAACTTTGATTGAATTGCGCTCTATCTAAACGTTAATATTAAGAGCTAAAACTTTCAGAGAATTGTTTTTTATCTATTTGGAACCATTTGAGCCCCTGGGAGCAAGGAAATTCGAAAATGACCATTTTAAGGACCACCCTAATATATATATATATATATATATATATATATATTATAGACCTATATATATATATATATATATATATATATATATATATATATATATATATATATATATATATACCTATAGATATATATATATATATATATATATATTTTGTTAAAACTAATTTTTAATATTTATTTCATTATATATTTGTATAAATGTTGGACATTTAATTAATAATATTTAAAAATGGTATTACAATTAACAAGTGTTAAACACAATATTATAGAAATAATAGATCAATTATTAATAGCTGATAGATTACTATTTTCTCATAGAAGATTCAGTTGTATCAAAATCAAGACATTATAATTAACAAGCGTATAAAAATCTTGGGACACTTATTATTACACAATCTACTCTTCCAGCTCTATCAGTATCAATCTTTTATATTTAATTATCAATTATTTATTCCACTACTTCAGTTTTAACAACAGCAACAGTCTCCTCGTTTCCATTATTGTTGAGTTGTTCCTTATCACAGAGTTTCATTCGATTCTGTCTCTCGAGCTTTCTCATGTCCAACCAGGCTTTGAATTGCTCGTCTTCCTTGTCTACGTCTGTGGAATAATTTTCCAGGTACAGATAGTAAGACTCTCGCAGGATTTTGAAAGCCTGCGAATCCCTGTAGGGGGTCTTTGTTAGGGGATCGAAATACTTTGCTGGTAATCTGGAAATAGAAATAGAAATAGATATATATGGATGTATATATATATATATATATATATATATATATATATAAATAGTAATATTTTCTAAAGCAACTTGATACAATTTTAAATGGAAAACTATCTGTAAGTGGAATTCTGTCTTGAGGCAATTATGGCATCGTGCCTTAAGGCAAATTGCTGGAACTTCCCGTACCGTAACGAAATGTTCGAGAAATACTGAATGTTTTCAAATAGATTATTATAAATATTGTAATATTGTCTAATATTTATAAGAATTATATAAACTGAATTGCAGTGTTGAAATTATTTGTAAAGTATATTAGAACTATAGTCAGAATTAAAAATAAAATCTGAAATATTTTCGATATACAAAAAACTAAAAAAGAAAAAAAAAAAGAAAAAAAAAGAAAAAAAAAAGAAAAAAAAAAGAAAAAAAAAAGTTTGAACAAAGAAAATTTTCTAAAGTTTGAAAAATTGTACCAAGCATTTCTGTTAGTTAAAATAAAAATAAAAACTTAAATTGTATAAAATTTTGTATGGACAAAAATATTTCTATGTGTAACAAAATTCAGATAATCTCATCTATTTTCACTTTCTAAGAAAATTTTTCAAAATCGTCTAAAGTATGAAAATTTTTACCAAGTCTATGTGAATGTCTGTTAGGTTAGGAATGATTAAAAACTTAAATTTTTGTAAAATTTTGTATGGACAAAAATATTTCTAAGTATAACAAATTTCAGATAATCTTATCTAATTTCATGTTATGTTAGCAAAATTTAATGTATTTAATGTAATACACTATGTATTATAAACATTAACTTGAAATTACACAATATTTTCACAAAATACTGATTTGAAAAAATCACAAATGGACAGTGTGTTATTCGTAGACTGGTTGAAGATGTAACATCCATTTGTGATTTTTTCAAATCAGTATTTTGTGAAAATATTGTGTAATTTCAAGTTAATGTTTATAATACATAGTGTAGTGCATTGCCATATCCTGATACCATGGATTATTAAAATTTTCCAATTTAACACTAAGATCTACTAATTGTAAGTACTAATTACTATTTTATTTTTTCTTTTCACTCCAATTCAATTGTTTTAGTTTTTAATTTTATTTTTAGTTTTCACGAAAATAGCCGAAACGTGTGGATTTAAAATAAATTTTTGAAAGAAATTCATGTTTTTTATTGATGTTATGCCCGATTATTAGACTTTGTTAATACATATGTCAACATCAAATTCAGAATCATACAATATATATATATATATATATATATATATATATATATATTAAATAATTCTCCAATGTTTTTAACAATACTTACAATGTTATGGGACACGTCTGTCTTCTTGGCTTGGCCATATCAGACTTGGGGAACACTTTGGCATAAATCTTGTTATCAACATCATTATGGAAGGAAATGAATGTCCTTTCATATCTCATTCTATCTAAAATCCTAAAAAAAATAAAAACAATTAATTACATTAATCATTATCGCACAGAAAAAATTAGGTATTAAAAAAAACAAGAAATCTATTCCACTTACTTTGGTTGTGTCCTATTAGTCTCTAAGTTCTCCTTATCGGCACCACATTTCTTCTCACTCAATTCATCTGCGTTATCTACAACTGTCGTAGCATCATCCACATCCATTTTAGAATCCTCCAAAGATTCAGTTTTAGTAGTATCTACATCCTTATTATCACTTGGTACATTGTCGTTACCATCGACATCCATTTTATCACCATCATCCTCAGCTTTGGTCTCAACCTCTTCAGGCTTAGTTGATTCTTCAATCTTTAATGGTTTTTCTACTTCCTGGTTACCATTTTGGTCTTCGGTAGTAGATTTAGAGGAGTCTACGTCTTCAGGTGTAGTTAGAGTGTTGTTATTATTTTTTACAGTATTATCGGTGATAGTTTCAGGGTCCATTGTGACTGCATAGGAATGGTATCTTATGAATGGCACAGACTGGAAGTTTTTGTCGTACCGACACTTCTTTTTTTCAATCTCCATTTGTTTATATTTATCTGTTATAATAGAAAAATATTAAATTTAAAGACGTTCGGAAAGGTTAAAAATTTAATTAATCAAGTCAAATTGTTATTAAAGGTTTATAAATAGTTTTTTCAAGTTATTGTGAATTGTGGAAGTTGTTTCAGTTCAAAATCTAACTATTCACTTGTTCTTATAATTAAATATATATATATATATATATATATATATATATATATGTATGTATATATACAGTGGCGTCGCGAGACCATGCGGGGGCGTCGGCGAAATTCGTTTGCAAGGCCCCCCCGAGTGCAAATTACTGAAACTTTCCGTGATTTAAATGTTTTAAAAGCTTTAAAATTTTTTGAAAAAATTGAAAGAAATTGACTTTTTAATTGGAAATATTTTTATTGTATTATGAAATTTGTTGAAGCGCGTAAGCGCCGAGTTTACGATTATACATTTTTACGGAACGCGAGTGGAAAGGGTTAATCTTTATAAAATATCTGATAATTTGATTTGCGTGATCATTTTTGTCCGCCAAATTGCTTTTCTTTTACTTTTTTTTATTAGATCTCTAAAATCTCCAAACTGCCTTCTTAAAAATTTAATCAGTTTTTCATCTGGTTAATAAAAATAAAATGTTTTTTCAATCATTCGGATCGGACGGTCCGTATCTTCGAAACGGCTAATTCTGCCTTTGCCAAAAACTAATCAGCACGTCTTAATGACCATATTAAAAAGTTAAAAAATAATTATTGTTAAACGAAAGTATGAGTAAATGAGATTTATTTCTAATCAAATATTTACAAAAATTTGAATAGACAAAAATTACACAAGTTAAAATAAACAAACTCTTCGGCAAAAACAGTTTGTTCTCCAGATATTAGAAAAACACTGAAATTAAATAATTATCCCGAAGAAGTTTTTTTTTGCCAAATCATTCGATTAGTTAATTTTATAATATCTCGACCGTTCAAGTCTTTCTGAATGAAAATGAATTAATAACTAATTAAACAAAATATTTCATTCTACAATTGATTAAAAAATCTATAATCAAAATATTTTGAGTACACAAATCCGCACATAGAATGGCATGACCGAAAAGTTCGGCCCATTATTTCGAAATATAATGAATTTTTATAATTAATCATTTGTCGTAGTTCCATAAAATTTATGTCAGTTTAGTGTCTAAACTTTAGACTCTAATTTAAATCTGTATACAGAGTTTTTTTTAAAAAAAAAAAAGGATTTCTGCAATTAATTACGAAGAAAACGGCGCGGCCGATCTTTACTTTCGAACAGTTTTTTGCATTTTGAATTTGATTCAGAAATGTAAAAATGTCGGATTTTTAAGAACCTTTAATTTTTTGTCGACGGTATCAAAGCTGATCGACCGATTTAAATGGATAAAGAAACATTTGATTCGTGTTGATAAATTGGCAAAGGCAGGTCCAGCGGTTTAGGAGATGCAAAAAAGGTTTCAATCAATTTGGTGATGTAGTTTTTGAAAGAACTGATCATCCGATTATAATGATTCGAAAAATATATTGCTTGTGTTGAAAGTGTGAAACAATGATTTGTTTCAAATTAACAGTATTTAATATCGCATAAGAAACACAAATAATCAGAAAATTATAACGTAAACAATCAGAGAATTATACGTCTCGCGCGAAGTTGTTAAGATTTAATAATCTATAGTGTTGACAATAGTAGATATTGTATATAAGAAATAAGAGATTAAAATGATAGTGCCCGTAAAATACTAATCACTTTATTTACTTGCACATCAGTATGAAATAAAAATTAAAAACTAAATTTTAAATAATTATATATATATATATATATATATATATATATATGACTTAAATTGTAACTATTGAATTTTAATAAAGTTCTATTCTATTCTATTCTATTCTATTCTATATATATATATATATATATATATATCTTTGCTTACCTAATGATTTCAAATTTTCAATTTCCGTAATTTTGGCCTCGGCCAAACGTTCCTCCTGAGTTGGTGACTTCATGTCCCTCTTGTACCTTCTTCGGGCTTCCTCTCGGGCCTGTTTCCTGTCCATTCGTTCTGAATCACGTTCCTTGACCCTCTGTCTGGTCAGCTCTGATTTGGCCTTGGTCGAGACTCTTGTAGATTTCCTCTCTTAATAGAAAAAAAGAAAATCAACTACTGGATGAAATCACATCCATCATCCAGCACAGAAATAACTGAATAAAATAAATTTCGAAACATTTGTAGTTTAACTGAAATAAGTGCATTTTTATCTAGTAAAACAATTGAGTTATTGTTATACTTTCATATCTGCGTTTGTATGTTTACATCAATTATTATTATTATGAATTTATTTCCTGTGATTCATCATCGCACCTGCCATAACACATACTTCACAAAGATTGCAATTAGAGGATGTTTATAGCTAAATGCTATTCGTAAACATTATTCAAAAACATGTTACTCATGTGTGTTATTTGAAAAGAGATTAAACAATTATCATTTGAATTCAAAGATTAAACAATTATCAAATGATTTGAATTAATATTTGTTATAAGTAGAAACTATTGTTACCGTAATCAGCAATTGTGGTATCTAAAGATTGTTGAGTTTTATGCTGTCTTGGTGCCCTCGGCTTCTGCTCCTGCAGCCTCTTCTTTTCTTGCTCAGATTTTTTTGGTTTATCCTGAAAACAAAAAACAAAACATCGATAAAAGTTGTATATCAGAAAATATGATCAAGATATAATTAAACATAATAAATTTCAATGAAATAAAAAAGAAGACTGATTCAATTTTTAGTTTAAAAAGTATCAAACCAGACAAAAAAAGAATTCTAGGAAAAGAAAGAACTAATTAATGTCCTAGATACTTAACTATTTTTGTTTTTTGAAATCTACTATAAGAATAAGATAAGATTAATTTATTTTACGACATTGGTGTAATTATATAATCAAAAGCGAATAGATTGGGAAAAAATTTAATATCAAATATATAATCATTAAAAACCCTCCAACATAATTAGAATTAAAACTAGCTGTAAGTGGAATTCTGTCTTAAGGCAATTAAGGCATCGTGCCTTAAGGCAAATTGCTGGAACTTCCCATACCAAAAATTATTAATTTTTTAAAAACAATTAACATTTTTGAAAAAATAAGATTTTTGAGAAACTATAAATTGGACAAAAAAAATTTTTTTCTTTATTTTGACATATTGTGGAAGATCTGAACTTTTTTTTCAAAGCATCGTACTGCTTTAACTGCATAGGGACAAAATATAAAGCGCGTAAGCGCCGCGTCGCTGTCTAACGCATAAGCATTGGTACGGAACCCATAGGAATGTTAACAAAATGTATACTTATTGTTAAAATCCCTATAAAATATCTGATAATTTGATGTGCATATGTCTAATGATCATTTTTGACCGCCAAATGGCTCATTTTTTTACTTTTTCCTCCATATCTCCGAAACCGCTAGACCTACCTTCATGAAAATTTTATCGATTCTTCATCTTGTCAATACAAGTGAAATGTTTTTTGAATTATTCAAATCGGACGCTCCGTTCTCTTAAAAACTGAGTTACCTGTTCGGCACTTTTTGCCCCGTATCTTCGGAACGGCTAGACCTGCCTTCGCCAAAAACTAATCAGCACGTCTCCTTATCAATACGAATCGAATGTTTTTTGTATTATTGAAATCGGTTGATCCGTGTTCCCGAAATCGTCGACGAAAATTTGTATCCGCACATACATACACACACACGCACACACACACATACATCCATTTTTTCTAAGGTATGCCAAAATGTTCAGAAACCTCTGAAACGTAAAGATATATAAAAATTTTCATTTTTGTTTTTTTTGCGATTACTATAACTTGCCCTACGGGAAGTTAATAATTATTGATCTAAGAAATCCTTTTTAATTACGGTTTAAGCTTATAATTTTTAAAGCTATAATTCAATACATAGTTTACCTTTCCTTAAACTCGTTTAATATAGTTTTTGACTATAATATCTTGATAAGAAAAAAATCCTGCTTATAAATATACTTGCAGTTTATAACCTAAATTGACCATCTTTAGTACTTTCTTCACCATTTTCTTTTAAGTGATGATTTTAATAAAATTTCCATTTATAAATATATATTTTACCTTGTAAGCTTTAGTAAAAGTTTTCCTCTTGCGTTTGGGTTCATCGACAACACTAGGATCTTCAATAAGTTCATCGTCTTCATCGATATCGAAATCAGAATCGACTTTGTCCTCTACTTCTTTCTCCATGCTAATGAAATTAAAATAAATTATATATATATATATATATATATATATATCTATATATATATATATATATATAAAACTATTATTATGTACGTTTCGACACTTTATGCGTGCCATCATTCACCCAAAAAACACAAAAAATTAAACATTGTCATATAAACCTTCTAATTGTGTAATAATTGAAATTATTACTTTAGAAAGATTAAAATTGATATAAAAAACTATTATTATGCACATTTCGACCCTTATATATATTATATATATATATATTGTTTTATAATTAAACAATAAGCAAAAAAATTTAAAATAAAATAAAAATATTGAAATTAAATATTATAAAAACAGGAAAAAATTGTGAACTAAAATAAATGATTAAAGTTTTGCCAGAAGTCAAAATAAACATATTAACGATGGCACGCATTTAGTGTCGAACCGTACAGTATAATAGTTTTTACAATTTCCTGTTAATTTTATGGAAAGTTTCATATTAATTTTTTAATTAAAATTTCTCTAACTGATGATGATGGCACAAATTTAGTATCGAAACGTACAGAATAAACAAATTTAGAATTTTTAATTTGAGATTTAGTTTACTCTTCAGTAGAGTCTTTTTTATTATAAAAAATGACACATTTTTCGTGTCGAAAAGTGCATAATAAAAATCTCCAGATTTTTCAAATGATGACACACATGAAGGGTCGAAACATGTATTATGCTTGCTTGTCAGTAGAGTCATTGTTTGTTATTTTATTGGTCGCTATATAATTTAATTTTTTTCTTTTCATGACAAAATTCAGTTTGCTCGTCAGTAGACTCCTCTTTATATATATAGAAATATATTTAATTTGCATTTAAGGGAAATTCAGTTTGCTCGTCAGTAGAGTCCCTTTTTTATTATATAAGTTGTTAATTTGCTCGTCAGTAGAGTCCATTTTATCTACATAGATATATTTGATTTGCTCTTAAAGGAAATTTAATTTGCTCGCCAGTGGAGTCCCTTTTTTATTATATAGAAATATATTTAATTTGCTCGTCAGTAGAGTCCTTTTAATAATATAAATTGCTATTTAATTTGCTCGTCAGTAGAGTCATTTTTTATTATATAGGTTGCTATTCAAATTGCTCGTCAGTAGAGTCATTTTTTATTAATAGGTTGCTATTCAATTTGCTCGTCAGTAGAGTCCTTTTTATTATTAAGTATGCTATGTAATTTACTCATTAGTAGGATCTCTTTTTTCCTTATAAGGACTTTTTTATACTTATAAATAAGAAAGAGACTCTACTAACGAGCAAAATAAATAGTAACCAATATAATAAAAAAGGACTCTACTGACGAGCAAATTGAATAGCGTCACACACATATAGCGTCGAAATGTACATAAAAAAAATCTATTAGCTTTTATCTAAATACAAAAAGGACTCTACTGATAAGCAAATAAGAAACATTGGTAAAAACTGCCAAATGATGACACACATATAGTGTCGAAACGTACAAAATAATATATTTGGAAAAAATGATCTACTGACATTTATCTAAATACAAAAGAGACTCTACTGACGAGCAAATAAAACCCGTTGGTATAAACTGTCAAATGATGACACACATATAGCGTCGAAACGTACATAATATTAAAAAAATATTTAAAAAATATTATCACTAGCATTTATCTAAATATAAAAGGGACTCTACTGACGAGCAAATAAAAAACGTTGGTTTTAAATTGTCAAATGATGACACACATATAGTGTCGAAACGTACATAATAATATATAAAAAATGGGTCTACGAAAAGGACTCTACTGACAAGCAAATGAAAAAACGTTGTTATAAACTGCCGAATGATGACACAGTATCGAAACGTACATAGTAATACATTAAAAAAAATCATTTACTAACATTTATCTAGATACAAAAGGGACTCTACCGACGAGCAAATGAAAACTATCAAAATGATGACACACATATAGTGCCAAAACGTACATAATATATTAAAAAAAATGGGTCTACTAACATATAATCATTATCCTCGTCAGCCTCGTCGAAGCCCCCATATGTAGTGCTGTAAAACTCATCGACTTCCTCCTCGTCGAGAAGTTTTGCCATCTTGTTCCCAGCATTTCGACGTTTCGGACGCGAACTAGCCATCTTCAGTCGAAATTAGAATATTTCTAAACTCTTTTTTCTTAATTTTATTCTCTGCAAAATCTGCAAACAAATCGAGAGAGAAAAACTTTAGGTAAAGTATTGAAACAAAATGGAGAAGGTTGGAATTTTAAAGCATGGTTTGCTATGTTTATAGAATTTTGTTTTGAAAAATTGGTTGCTTGATGCCTGAAATTTGGTAAATAAAACTTGGTGGTATTAATGTGTTTGTTTTGTTTATTATATTATATAAAATTACAGTTTTTTAATAATATGTAATTCAAACCAAAAATAATAATGCTAAATTATAAACCAATTTTTTTTAAAGTTTATTATTATTATTACATGATATTATGATATTATGACAACATATCTCAAATCATGGTAAAAATTACATTAGAATTAATAAATTTTCAGTCGAGATACTCGAAAGGCTCCGGAGCGTCCGGTTCCTTCTCCTCGGTCTCCGGTTTGGGGCCGAATGCAGCCACGGGCTCCACCAGGGTCTGGTCACCGGTTGCATCGTGTTTCACCATAACAATTCCTCCGATAGAAACATCCTTGAGAGGAGTGTAATTCGTCCCTTCGGCAATGGTAATTCCTTTTAGTTGTTGGCGCATCACGCGTGCAGGATTTGGTAACATTTCGAAGTTCGGTTCTGGTTCTTTCCTGGTGGATGTTACCGAGTCGTCGGAGGATATTGTTGTGGTCTCCGTGCCGCTGTCTGAAGGTTTGTGTGCTAAGCCTTTGGAAGGACCTGAGGTAACGCTGATTGTAGGCACAGGCTTTTTCTCTTTTTTATCCGTAGTCTCCGGTTCATCCACGTCCATTTTTATATCAATCTGATGTCCAGAATCCTTCTTTTTATCATGATCTTTCCTTTTAGCTCTAGCAGCTATGGATAGGACTGCTGTGGTTACTTTTTCACGCTCCTCGCGTTTTTTCTCTTCCAAAGGTGCAGGATAAGCGTACAAACTGGGTTTGGCTGCTGAGTGAAAATCGATTTTAGGCATTTTTAGGTCTGAGTTGAGCGCTATTAGGCATGTCGGAGTAAAAGCTAAGGATAAGCAGTGTGCCAACGGGAACCAATACCAATACTGGGTGAACACTAACATACCAACAACGGCTTGTAAATTAGTATGTCCAGTCCGCGATTGCAGGCTTACAGTAACATTTCTACCACCAGCATCTATTATACCTTGTGCCAAAATAGCACCGTACTTAGCCATCACGTCCTCGTGTTTGTTAGTGATTACCTGCGTATACAGTTGTCTGAAGAATGCGACTTTTGGACAAGCCGCTTCAGTGTGTTGTATCAAAATCATCGCAGACGCGATTAAAGCACCCTGGCGCACGAAGTTCACCGGATCAAACTTAGCCATGGGTTCCAAAAGTGCTATGGCTTCACGCAAACCAGTACCTGCACACGCTATACCCAAAGCCATGGCAGCTCCATAACGCACATGAGGATTGTAAGACTCTGCCAACAAACTTACTACTGACGGACATTGATCTGGTGTCCGGAATAACAGAAAGCCTAAACCTGTTACCGCAGCACGTCGTACATCATCATTAACATCAGACACGGCTATATGCAAAAGTTTTCTTATAGCCTGGTTGTTACCGGTGCCGCAATACGCCATGGCTAAAGTATACATACCAGAGCGTCTCAAAACCGGGTCTTTATCAGCGCACAAGCTCATAATCAACGCATCGGCTTCTTCCAACCGTGCAAACATGGTGAAGGCTATGCCCACAGCCAAACCACGCAAAATCTTCTCGTGCTGAGTCTCCTGTGCATACGCCACCATATCTTCAATAGCCCCTGCGTTTTTACTACCCAACATCACCATACCCATGGCAATACCTGCAGCTTCACCAGTAACCGCATCATCCTGGTACAAATTGAACTTGAGTTGGTCGTACACGTCTTGACGGTGTGAACCCATAGCAGCTAAACCTAGACCTAAGCAACCCCCATGACGTACCATCTCGTTCTGAGCGTCCCTCAGTTGACTCAACAAGTAGTCAATAATATTAGCACCGTGATTGGCATGGATTAAACCCAGTGCGTACAAACCACCGCCTTCAGAATACCCTGAACTCGGCCCTGTCTCTTTTGGTAAATAACTCTGCATCAAAGCTAAAGACTCGGTTTCGTGACCCCGATGAATAACACCTAACGATGCTGTGGCTGTAAGCTTAGCCCAATTTGTAGCCCTTGCTAACCAATCCAAGTTATCCCTCAAAAACTGGTCGCTTGTAGTACCACTATGCATGAACGCATTAGCAATTACTGTAGCTGTGTGACATACCGAAACCCTGACAGCTTCTTTTGTAGCGCGCAGAATTTGCAAGTCCGCATGGTTGCTCCTGATCAAAAACTGTAGTTGCAAGTCTATAGAAACTTCACCTGACAAAATACTGACTAGTTTTTCAACGCTTTGCTGGTGCGCCTTTTCACTATCCGTCAAACTTGCCAAATCACGCTCCACAACTTGTGACTTCTCACTTTCTTTCTCTTCATCAGTGACTGCTTCAGTTTCTGAAGGTGTAGGTGTCGGTGTGGGTGTTTCTGGTGCAGGTGCGCCTTGCGGCTTGGGTTGACCTCCTAAAGCACCTGGAATAGGCGCTGTAGCCCTCAATGCTTGTAACACACGACCCAAGAACTGTTGTGTGGCTGATTCGTATAAATCAAAGGCTATTTGATAAGCCATGAGTACATTGTCTTCGGAGCCTTTGGTAAGTTTATCCAGGACTTGTGCGACTGATAAAGGATCTTCAAGGAAGATTAAGCATTGGCACATGCTGACGTAGTCAGGTTTTGCTAAACCTCGGTATAAACCGACAAGGGATCTTAGTATACCTGCACGAAAACCACGGTTTTGTATGAGACTCATAGTCACTTGGAAGGCGTATGCTAACATCCCACAGACGTCATCAGATTGCATTATGGAAGCCTCAAATATATCCATACGTCTGGTCTCCAAGGCTAGACCCAAAGCCTGACGGTACTGTCCATCGTCCAAACACCTTTGAAACATTCTGTTAACAATAGCTTCTAAACGTGGATCGATAGGTTTAGCTTGTGGAGAGTTCTCAGCATGCAAAATCCTTTGTTGGGTGTAGTAGTCTATACATTTTGCAATTGTAGTGTCTACGTACTCGTTTCTACTGTTGACATCAAATAAGTTTCCAGCGCCTAAAGCGTACGTCAAGGAGTCTTCAAAAGCCCCCAAGTGGTAATAAACTTTACTTGCAACCAGAGCAGCGAGTTCGTGCTGCGAAAACACTTTATCCTCGTGCAGGATCTCAATTTTTTCAATGGCTTCCGATATCTCCGGCCAGAACTCGTCCACTATCATGTCCAGTTTTTGTAAGGCAAAAACCTTCAATTCCGGCATCGGTTCCTCCAGCAAGGAAATAATACCAGCGGCCGATGTAATATTCATTTTGATAAATCGCTTGGTACCTTTATGTCGAATAACAAGCTGTGTTACTCAAAATAACGAAAGTGTAGTGGCTAAATTAATAGATATTTAGATGTAGATTGAAATACTGTTTATCTCACCTTGTGTATGTGTTTAATTATAGATTATTTTCGTTCCAAAATCATAATAATTTTGCAAATCACTATGGTCGCTTGATTTCTTGTTATTTCACTTCACACACCACTGTACAATGAAGAGTGGAAAGAAATTACGAAGCCACGCAATTGTATTGCCACATTGGGTAAAAAACGCGGGAAATTAAACCTACAGCAAAATAAATTTGGCGGTAAAAAATTTAATAAACTATTTAGAAGCATTCAAACAATATAACCTTATATATAACTTAAGGTTTTTCAATATAACACATTAAATTTTAATATTTAACTTTTTTTTAAACATTTTTATTACAAAACTTCAAAGTCTAGTTCAATGATTACTCACAAGCGGCGCTGACGTCATATCATTTGACAGTTGGCCACCTTTGCGCAAACTTTTGACATTTAACATAACCTCAAAACACACATTTTTGAATTTTAAATTTTTCAAAATGGTTTTTATATATTTTTATTTATAATAATAAACTTTTTGTATTGCTTAAGTAATTAATTGAGAAAAAATGTACAAAAATTTGATATGTTTTGTGGCACGAAAAATTAAATATAACCACCAATCATTTTATATCAGAAGGTAATAATATAAATATAATTATATAGGTACATATATATATATATATATATATATATATATATATTGTATTTAATATCATTCTTGTTTTAAATTTAGGTTTAGCACAGAACTTGTAAAGCAAGAAGAAGTGTTCTCACCGATTAATTATGAATATGATAAGATTCCAGCAGAAAACATCAGAAATTTTAGTATAATTGCTCATGTAGATCATGGTATGAACAATTAACATCACAAATAACACCAGGTTCAAAGTTTACTTCATGATTTTTATTATTTTGTAGGTAAAAGCACGCTAGCTGATCGCTTGCTTGAAATTACAGGCACCATAAAGTCTGTAGGGACTCAAAATCAAATTTTAGACAAACTACAGGTGCATATTTACAATAATACTTATAACATATAAAATAACATTAATAATGATTATTAATTTTTGTTATCTAGGTGGAAAGAGAGCGTGGTATAACAGTAAAAGCACAGACTGCATCTTTAATATACAATTATAAAGGCAAGCCATATCTTTTAAATCTTATAGATACACCTGGACATGTTGATTTTGCAAATGAGGTAAATTCCTATCAACCTTATACATATTTAATCAATAAATCCAATTATCTATTTCTATTTCTAGGTTTCTCGGTCTTTAGCAGCTTGCCAAGGCGTGATACTCCTAGTAGACGCCAACCATGGTGTCCAGGCACAAACCGTAGCCAATTTTTACCTAGCCTTCGGACGTGACTTAACTATAATTCCAGTTTTGAATAAGTGTGATTTAAAAAATGCGAATCCTGATAGGGCTTGTGAACAACTACAGACTTTGTTCGATATTCCCACTGAAGAAGTTTTGAGGGTAAAATATTAAAATAATATGTTGTAAAAAAGAGAAATGTAGTGTAATGGTTTATTAATTGTGATTGTTTTTGTTTTCTAGATATCTGCAAAAATGGGTACGAATGTTGAACAAGTCTTGGATGCTGTTGTGGAAAAAATACCACATCCGGTAGTGAACAGAAAAGAGACATTTAAGGCTTTGTTGTTCGATAGTTGGTAAGTTTAACAAGTTTTATTAATTTGTTTGGTTTTTAAATAATTTATACAGTATTGTTTTTGGAAAAATATAAGATATGTTAATTATTTTCAATATTATTTGGCAAAATACTTTAAAAATGAAAAATATATGAAAAACATGGAAAGACACATTGAAAATTACCTTTTTCTTAGAAGATATAAGGAAAAAATGAATACAAATTCTAAAATAAGCTTTGTTAAAGGAATTATAATCAAAATATGAGTTAATTGTCTAAAAATGAACTTCTTATACCTTAAAAATGAGTTTTTTCTAAGAAATTGTGAGAAAAATATTGATAAATGTCTAAAAAATGTGCTTTTTTTTTAAAGAAAATTTAGAGAAAATATGAATAGATATCTAAAAATATACTTTTTCTTCATAAAAACAAGTTAAATGTGGATAAACACTCTAAAAATGAGCTTTTTCTAGTAAATTATGGAGAAAATGTATTGGAAAATATTCTAAAAATTATATTTTTCTTCAAAAATGTAGGAAAACACATTAAAAATAAATCTTTTCTAGGCCAGTATAGAATTGTGTGAGTCTTTTCTCAAAAATATTAAGAAATAAATATTTCCCATATTTTCTATGAAGAAAATGTGAGAAAATTCTCTAAAAATCAGATTTTTTATAAAAATGTAGGATTTTCCCTAAAAGAGGAACTTTTCTAGGAAATTATATGAGAAAATATTCTAAAAATGAGTTTTTTTTAAAAAAAAAAAGAAAATACTTTAAAGATTAGCTTTTTCTAGGAAAAACATGAAAAAATACCCTAAAATTGGAGCTTTTCCAGGAAATCATAGGGAAAATATGAGAAAATATTCTAAAAATGAGCTTTTTCTAGGAAAATTTAGTAAAAACATGGGAAAATACCCTGAATGTGGGACTTTTCTAAGGAAAAATTGTGAAAATTTAGGAAACTCTAAAAATGAGATTTTCTAAAAAATGAGCTTTTTACAGAAAACGTAAGAAAAATATGGATAAATACTTTGAAAATAAACTTTCTAGAGAAAAGTAGGAAAATTATAGATATAATCTCTAAAAATTAGCTTTTTTTAGGAAATTATTGTGGAAATATGAGAAAACACTAAAAATCAGACTTTTTACGAAAAACATGAGAATATATTATTTTATATGGAAAATAGGAGAAAATTCTCTAGAATGAGATTTTTTGAGAAAATGTAGGGAAACACCTTAAAAATGAGTTTTTTTTTAAGAATTATAGGGAAAATACTCTAAAAATGAGAATTTTTTAAGAAAAATATAGGAAATACATGGAGAAATAAATTTTATCTGAAAAAATATGGGTATATATCCTAAAAATAAGCTTCTTCTAATGAATTATAGAAGTATGAGAAATAATCTTAAAAATGAGCTTTTTCTAGGAGAATATAGGAAAAACGTGGGTAAACATCCTAAAAGTGGGACTCTTCTAGGGAATTGTAGAGAAAATGTGAGAAAATACTCTAAAAATGATTTTTTTATAGATAAACGTAAGAAAAATATGGGAACATATATTAAAATGTGTTTTCTATGGAATATAAAAAATATGTATAAACACTCTATAAATGAGCTTTTCCTAGAAAAACGTAAAAAAATGTGTGAAAATGCCCTAAACCCTATAAGCAATACTCTAAAAATTTACTTATTCTAAGAATATATATCAAAAATATGAAAACATACCCTGAAAATAAACTTTATCCAGAAAAATGTAAAAAAATGTCCTAAAAATTAACTTTTTCTAGGAAATATAGGGAAAATTTGGAATGGTACCCTAGATATGAGATTTGGTAAGAAAATTTAGGAAAAATGTGGATAAATGTCTAAAAATGAGCTTTTCCTAAAAAAATACAGAAAAATATTCTAAAAATGAACTTTTTGTAGAAAAATATAGGGAAAATATGGAATAGTACTTTAGATATGAGATTTGGTAAGAAAATTTAGGAAAATGTGGATAAATGTCTAAAAATGAGTTTTTTCTAAAAAAAAATTATAGGAAAAATGAGTAAACGATTTTTTTCTAAGAAAATATAGAGAAATCATGAGCAAAACATGAGCATTTTTTTTTAAAAAATGTAGGAAAAATATGGATACAAATGAGCTTCTAAGAAAATGATGTAAAAAATGAGAAAACTAGGCTTTTCTAAGAAGTTATCTAAAAAAGATATGCTTTTTCTAGGAAAATTTAGGAAAAATACTCTAAAAAAAGTTTTTGTATAAAAGGAAACGTATGGGAAAATAAGGAAACATATGGGAAACACCTATCCATCTTAGAGTTTGTAAAAAATTGAAATCTTTTAGTATTTTATCAATATCAATAGTATGTCTTAAACATACATGTTTACTGGGTATTCAGTATTTTTTCAATATCTTTAAAATTTAACTCAAATTATAAGTAATTGTACTAATAGAGACCTGTATCACTCCTGAAGACTCATTTATTTTACAAACGATAAATAAAAATCATGTGTTTAAATTAGAGATAAAACTAAAAAATTAAAATTGAAACTCTAGAGACTTTATAATATTTACTCAACAGGTACGACAAATTCAGAGGAGTACTTTCCCTTATATATGTAACAGATGGCGAAGTTAAAGTCGGCGACCAAATTGCATTTTACCACACTGGTAAAACTTACGAGGTGAAGACTGTTAGCATGCTCAGACCTGATGAGGAAAAAGTCGAGAAATTGTAAGCCTAATAATAATTAAATTTTTACCACTATATTTTACCATTAATAATGTTTTTTGTGTCTTTTTTCCCAAGAGTTGGTGGCCAAGTAGGTCTCATCGGTTGCAACATGAGGACGAGTAAAGAAGCTTTGATAGGAGACACTTTGCATTTGAAAGGAAAAACTATAGAACCGTTTTCGGGGTTCAAACCTGCACAACCTATGGTATTTGCAGGTAATAAAGAATTATATAACAAATTATATTTACTAGCTAATACTAATTTTTTTTCCTCAGGTGTTTATCCTGCGGAGCAATCTCAACATGTTATGTTAAGAAGTGCAATTGAAAAATTGGTCTTGAATGATTCTGCAGTAAGCGTTAGCACTGATTCCAGGTAATAATAGATAGTTAAGGTATAGTAAGTTATGGGTATAGTTTATAAATTTAATTTTGTGGTTATAGTCCTGCCCTAGGTCAAGGTTGGCGTCTAGGTTTCCTCGGACTTTTGCATTTAGAAGTTTTTTCCCAAAGACTTCAGCAAGAACACGGGGCAGAGCCTATATTGACGGCACCTTCAGTAACCTACAAGGTTTGATGGACAAAAAATTGATATTATTATATATATATATATATATATATATATATATATATATATACAGGGTGTTCTATAGAGAAAATGTGCGAAAATTCTCTAAAAATCAGATTTTGTGGAAAATGGTAGGATTTTCCCTGCAAGTGGGACTTTTCTAGCGAATTACAGGGAAAATATGAGAAATTATTCTGAAAATGAGCTTGTTATAAAAAAGATGTTAGGAGAAAAATGAGAAAATATTCTAAAAATGAGCGTTTTCTAGGAAAATGTAGGAAGAACATGGGAAAATACCCTAAAAGTACGACTTCTCTAGAAAAATATGAGAAAATACTCTAAAAATGAGCTTTCTCTGGGAAAAAACATGGAACAATATCTTAAAATTGGGGATTTTATAGGGAATTATAGGAAAAATATGAGAGAATACTCTGAAAATTCAGGAAAAACATGAAAAAATAACCTAAAATTTGGACTTTTCTAGGAAAATATAGAGAAATATGGGAAATTAGTCAAACATTGACCCTTTTCTAGGAAAATGCAGGAAAATACCCTAAAATTGGAGCTTTTCTAGGAAATCATAGGAAAAATATTAGTAAATATTCTAAAAATGAGCTTTTTCTAGGAAAATGTAGGAGAAACATGGGAAAATACTCTGAATGTGGAATTTTTTTAGGGAATCGTATGAAAAATATGAGCAAATACTCTTAAAATAAGCTTTTTCTAGGAAAATTTAGGAAAAATATGGAAAAATACCCTAAAAGTTGGGATTTTATAGAGAATTTCACATTTATATATATATATATATATATATATATATATATATATATAGGGTGTCCCAGAACTCAACGTCAAGCCGAATCGGGCTGATATGAAATTTTTATTTTAATTCTTATGTTTGGAAGTTGTGAGCTTTCAAGTGCAATTTAGAGTAAAATTTCATAAGAGTTTCGAAAATATAACGAAAATTATCTAGAATATGGGTAAACGTCCTAAAAATGAAATTTATCTAAAACAAATATGGCTAAATATCCTAAAAATAAACTTTTCCTAATGAATTGTAGAAAAAGTACGACAAAATATCTTCAAAATGAGCTATTTCTAGAAAATTGTAGGAATTATATGACAATCTACTCTAAAAATGTGCTTTTATAAGAAAATATGGACAAATTTCTAAAAAGAAATAAATAAGTTTCTACAGAAATATGGGAGAAGTAGCAAAATACTTCAAAATGAGCTTTTTCTATAAAATTATCGGAAACATATAGGAAAATATCTTGAAATGAGTTTCATAGTAAAATTTCATAAGAGAACGATTAAAATTTCATACAAGTAAGAGGAAAATTTCATAAGAGTAAGATTAAGATTAAAATTTTAACTGTTGGCATGGAATCGTAGTAAATTTTATCTAGTTTCTCCGTATCTAACTGAAAAGGGGTGCTTTCATATGATATTTGTGAGTAATTTGACAAAAACCAAAAAAATATCCCGAATTTTCTATTTAATGCTAAAGAATATGAAAGATGGAATTCAAAGTCGTTTTATCCCAAACTTTTTATACCGGAGCGTATATAACTGTTGGCATTATATATATATATATATATATATATATATATATATATATATATAAATTATATATAATTTATTTTTATAGGTAAAACTACACGGTAAAAGAATAATAAACGAGCACGGTTCTGACGAAATTTTCGTATCAAATCCTGCACTAATGCCCGACGACCTGCACATTATCGAATACTTTGAACCAATGGTAAAAGGTACACAAAAACAACAAACCACACCAATAATCTTATATTTATTAACAATTTTTTTCCTACTAGCCACCATACTAACTCCTGACTCATACATGGGGCCAATACTTGGTCTTTGCATTGAAAGAAGAGGGATACAAAAGTCTTCAACAAATGTTGACGATGAAAGAGTCATGTTGCAATTTGAGATGCCACTTTGTGAAGTTGTTTTGGATTTTCATGATAAAATCAAAAGTATGAGCTCTGGGTATGCCAGTTTCGATTATGAAGACATTGGTTACAAAAGCAGCAACTTGGCAAAAGTAAGATGATAATAGATATAAACACTTATCCATTAATATTTATTTATATTAAATAAATGTATTTTTAAATGTGTGTATTTTTTCCAGATGTATATATTACTGAATGGCCAAATTGTTGACGAATTAACGACAATAGTTCATGTAACAAAAGCCTCACAAGTTGGCAAAGCCTTAGTGGCCAAACTCAAAGAACAAATTCCTAGACAAATGGTGCAAATTGCTATACAAGCTAGTGTTAATGGTAAAATTGTAGGCAGGGAGACGATTAAGGCCTTCAGGAAGGACGTCACTGCTAAATTGGTAAAATACTAATAATAGTTAATTATATATATATATATATATATATATATATATATATATATATATATATCATTATCTTTTTTTCAGTATGGTGGTGATGTGACAAGACGTATGAAACTGCTCAAGCAACAAGCAGAAGGCAAAAAAAAGATGAGGTCCATAGCAAATATACAAATACCTAGAAATACTTTCATAGACGTATTGAAAAGATAATTTGTAAATACTAATTATATTTTAATATAGCTAATTTATAAATACTTTAATGACTACGATGAGTTTTCTTCTGTTTGTTTATTCTTTTTACTCATTTTGGGTCCTTTCCATGCTTTTCCACGTAGAGCACGCATCCTATTCATTTCATCTTTGAAGTCTTCGTGTTCGTCTCTGTATAAACCATAATATCTTAGTCTCATCATCAGGCTGTAGGTTTCTACGTGCCTGGGGTAGTAATCGACGATTTCTGGACGTTTTTCTAGGGGCTTTTCACTAAACATACGGAGAACCTAAAAAAATTAAATACATACATACATATATATATATAGTTATTTATTTATTTATTATTATTATTTTTTCTACTTACCCTCAGAGATTTAGGGTTAGTAGGTCTTGTAACCTCCCCAAAGATCCTATTTGACAAATGGTTCATCCTCCTCGCATAATTAGTGGCCAATTTCGATAATTCCGCATATTTATGCATATTTGTTTCTGCAATTGAATTAATTATTGTTGTAAATATTAGAGAATTTATGTCAAGGCAGCAAAAGGTCAAACATGCGCATTGAGTTAAAACGACTTATTCAGCAAAAACATGTAACAAAGTGCGTGGAAGGAATTTAAATAGATATAAATTATTCAAGTGAGTAGAAATTAAGGGTTATATGTTATAAATGTTTGTAATTACCTGTTTATTGATTTGTGATATTAATTTGTTGTTTTTGTAATGGTGTTATGTAAAAAAAAACGATTTGACGTTTGTTGAACAATTTTAGGTTAGGACGTGAAGTTGCCTGGTGAAAGGAGATTGTAATTGTGGCGGGAAATTTGAATTTAAATTTATAATTGATTTAAATTTTTACATTTTTGCAATTGAATATATAAATAATAGAATAAATATTACTAAATTCCGTATGGTTTCTCATACTTAATGATTATTAAATATATTCCTTTCAAAATTAAATAAAAAAAAATATTCGCAAGTACACCAGTTTGATATAGTGTTAAAATCAAATAAGTCTGACTCTTATTTTTTAAAAAGTATAAGTAAAAATTAAGGTTTATATATTATAATTGTTTTTAATCACTTGTTTATTGATTTGTAATATTAATTTGTTGTTTTTTTAATGTAAAAAAAATACAATTTGACGTTTTTTGTACAATGTTATGTTAAGACGTGAAGTTGTCTGATATGAGGAGATTGAATTTGTGGCGGCAAATTTAAATTCAAATGATTCAAATTTTACAAATTATGAATTTTACAATTGAATATATAAAAGAGTACAATTTTCAAAGTCTCATCACAATTTAATCATTAATATGTTGTAATTATAAAAATAAAAACAATTGGTTTCTCAGACTTAATGAATATTAAATTTATATACTTAATTTTCACAAGTTTTTCTTGATTTTCTCCTACAAGGTGAAAGATACATAAAAACTTTGTTTGGACAAAAGATGCAGAATAACATTACAAACAAAATGATATATAAATCGTTATGTGTGTACATATAATTTTCTCCAGATTTTACAATTTTCCTTACATTTTACCACAGCAACTCACTTGTAGGCCAAACCGTTCAAAATACAAAGTTGCATTATATGGAAGAAAAACTAAGAATATCAAGACCTTTCCAACGATGTACAATACTTTATATAGTCACTTTATAAAAATATCCAAATAATATACACTTTGCATTTCAACACTTCAATATTCATACAAATTCTGTACTAATTTAAAACAAAGTTTATCTGGGGTTAATATAAAATAAGTCTAATATTTATTCTTTTATTTCAGTATGTATGAGATATGTTGTTGACCCGTCCGAAGCAGATGGCCGGCTTTATACCATTAGTGGCCGTGTCCTTAGCTTTTATATTTCTAGTCCAATTGAAAATTTTATATGATAACACACAGAAAACCAATAGAATCAATGGATACAAATCAGAGGTAATAACTAGGACACATACAACCCTAAACTTCCAACCTGTGATAGTCATTTTAGTAATTGAATCAATTTTCATTCCTTTCCCAGTAAACATGCGATATGGTCACAACATCGTGGCAATATTTTATTTAGGTCGTGTGACATGCGGTCCCCATATTCATTTTCGTCGATATTTCATGGATACGGCCGCAAATTTATGTAACTATCGAACAACTATCGAGGTTCGGTCTCTGGCGCACGCGGCGTTCGTGATACATGAAAATCGACGTTGACCCACATATGTTTGTTTATTATGATAAGACCGTCTGACGTAAGGCGTTAACCCCAGTCATGACGTCATTGGCGAATGAAAACGATTCGGTCATGACGTCATACAAAATGGCGACTCAGTTATGACGTAATAGCACCTGAAAGTGATGACGTAATGCAATTAATATTCTTTTCTGTACGAATAAGCATTTATTTACGTGAATAATAAGAAATTTTACAATATTTAAATATTACAAATTAGAATTGTAGTTTAGAAATTATAAAATTTTAACATGAACTATACTAGAAAACTATTTACAAATTATTCAATCTTAACATATTAATAACAGTATATTTAATGAAAATTGTTGTATATCTATTTATATATATATAGATAGAACATATAGAACGTAATTCTATTTTTGGGGCGTGAAGTGTGAAGTGTTGCATAAGTATTCTATCGCCACTTCCTTATACATCAAACAGCCTGCCTATTTTTCATTATTTCATTCTATCGCCAGTTCATTGCATCAAATGCCAGGATACAGATTATGCACATATGACATACTGCCCCAAATTTTGGAAGTTTTCTAAAACAAATTCAAACATAATGTGATTTACTGTATATAATATAATATATATATACAGCTACCATATGTGTAGCTACCTACATGTTCAGTGTACAAATCTCCATCATCTTAAAGTCGCTTTTACATATACATTTTTAACACTGACTGATTTCATTCTATCGCCAGTTCAATACATCAAATGCGAGGATACAGGATATTCATATATGATGCACTTCTTGGAAGTTTTCTAAAACAATTTGAAACATAATGTGTTTTATTGAATCTAATAATATATATACCACTCCATATGTGTAGCAACTTACATATTCAGGAGACAAATCTAAATCGTCTTCGAGTCGCTTTTGCACATACATTTTTTTTAACCTGATTGAATTCATTCTATCTTCAGTTCATTATACATCAATACATCAATCAAGTTCATGCATATATGACATACTGTTCCCAATTTTAGAGGTTTTCTAAAACAATTATAAATATAATGTATTTGTTACCAAATAATATATATACAGCAACTATATATGAATCAACTTACATATTAAGAAGATAAATCTCCATTATCTTCAATTTGCTCCTAAACATACATTATTTGAGCCTGTCTAAAGATCTGTATATTGTTCATCGTTTCATTCCAATTTTGTACGACTTCTGAAATAAATATGAACATGGCATACGTGTTTGCTGTTTATATATATTTGTATAGCTATTATATTTGTAGTGACTTACATATTCAAACAATCATTCTCGATCTGCTTCTCAACCGACTAATTTAAGAGATTTAAGAAGTGAGGTTATGTCGAACACATGGATATGTTAATGTCTTAATTTAGTAAAATAATTATTTTAACCTTGCTAAACGATCCTTATTATTGTCCTCAGATTTTGTAAGATATGCTATTTGGTTACCTCCTTTGTCATCTAAAGAAATCGACATAAAATAACGTTTCTTCATCCCAGGATATAATGCACTAAATGGAATTCAAAATCGTGAAGTAATTACATATCTATATAAATAATATATGATATACTTACGATGTCATTTTTCTACACTTTTCTACAATTATCATAAACAAGTTGCTTAACTAAACGAATGTAATTATTATACTAAAGAAAATATAACTTGATGCATGATAAATTCGTGACATTTTGCGCCATTTTGTACGCGGTTTTAGGTTAGCTTTCGTCAAAGAAACAGTCGGTTCCACCAGTGGCCACGGCGCGCTGATGTAAAGCTTTCTTTGTATGGTCACACACACCAGCACACAACGCACACAACGCAGCGCACGACGCGTTTGCTTCACGCCGTGTGACGTCATTGATTATGCTTTGCATGTGTGCTAACACACACCAGCGCACGACATGTATCTCACATGAAATTCAACGATGTCATTACCCCCGACAGCGCGTGTTTATGTCTCGTGAGACAACTCAATGCGAGCTTTGCGTGTATTGTAACACACACAAGCGCACGCAAGTTTAAAATCCTCTTGTGGCGTAGATTCGATAACCGCATTATAATAACGATGTCGATATTATAGAAGATCACATCGCGTGTTTACTGGGTTGATTAAAATACAAAGATTTATTTTGGCTATCCTCTTATTCAATTTTAATAATTTCTTTTTTCTAGGCCGAAGAATTGACAGAAAAAATGCAAAACTTAGAAAAAACTGCTGTGCGTAGTGATAATATAATTCAACAAGTGGCTTCTTATATTCGTAACAAAAAGCATTTATTAAAAAGAAACTGATATGTACTGGATTTAGTAGAAACTTACCACTAATTTTATATATATAATGATCTCTTAACAATTTATAAACTATGTACTTATAACAGTATTAATAATACATACAATATATATATATATATATATATATATATATATATATATATACTGAATTCCATTTTAGTAACAAACCAAATAACAAACCATGTTATAATTTAAATTATATATATAATTGCTTTTATTTGTTATATTTTTGTAGAGTTTATATAAATATATTAATATATAGCATTATTAAAATAAATTAATTTAGATTATTAATTAGTTATGTTACAATTTTATAAAAATGATAATAAAGGGAATACTTAACAAATAAACAAATAAAGAAAACTTGTTTGATTTCTATGTTAATAGAAGGGATTTCAAATATTTTGCTAAATATTTATATAATATTATATATATATATATATATATATATATATATGGAGGTGTAGTAGTCCTCCATATTAATACCAATATTATCCAAATTGTAGTAATAATAAATTCCATAAAATATTATTTATATTTGGTTTATTTTATGTATGATTAATATCCACGACACTATGTGTTGTCATATTTATCGTTAATAAAATGTGATTGGTATTTTCTTATTTATAATAGAAAAGAAAGGTTTTGAAAATTATACATTTTGGCAAGTTCGACTAGGGAGAAACAAAAACCGTGTCCGATCTGACACTTGAATTTCCTTTTGTTTTTCTCAGTGCTGTCACTATATGGGCCAATCTGTCCAGAGACATGTGATGCGTGTTGACAAGCCGCTATGCGTACGAATATTGTTTATTATGACAATAGTAATAACACTATGTGTGATTATATTGATCATTTACAAAAACGTAGATGTTATTTCAGTATTTATAATAAAAAAAGGAAAAAAGTTAAGAATTATAATTTTGGCATTTCGAACATTGAGCAAACAAAAACGAGATCTGATCTGACACTTGAATTTCCTTTTGGTTTTCTCAGTGCTGTCACTATATGGGCCAATCTGTCCAGAGACATGTGATGCGTGTTGACAAGCCGCTATGCGTGTTGGCAACCCGCTACATATATATATATATATAATGATTAAGTTGTTAATTTTGAATCGTCGATTAATTTTCTAATAAGCAAATACAAATAGAGAAAAATGAAAATTTACAAATTTACAAATTGTAGTAAATTCTTATCTAAAATATTACAGCAGTATTAGTTGTACAAAACTAGTTTTATTAAAATATGCATTACATTTTTTTAGTTTTTCATAAATATCTCTAAAAATTTATTCAACACAAGAAAAACTAAATATACAGTTGAAAAGTTGATAAAATTCTAAACAATTTTGTATAATTATTAAATAATATAATAGGTTGTCAAATATCTCCCTTCCGCCTTTTTGTATATATTTGATCATAAATATATTTAAAATTTAACTTAAACATGCAAATGTTTTTAGTTAAACAGCAGACTAGTCTTATAATTAATTGCAGACATTTTTTTAGTTTTTCATAAATATCTTTAAAAATTTATTTGACACAAATAAAAACTATTATACAGTTAAAAAGATGTTCAAATTGTCTATAACACCGTATAATTTTTAAATATAAAATCTGATTCAAAATATTTATAATATTTATTAAAATTACAACTTCGCGTCGGCCGTTTTTGCAATACGATTTCTTTACAATAACGGCGGAAGCAAAGTTGTACTATTTTTTTAGCTTTTCATAAAAATCATTGAAAATATATTAAACACAAATATAAACAAAAATATAGTTGAAAAGCTGTTTAAATTGTCTATAATACCATATAATTTTTAAATATAATATCTGATTAAAAAAATTATAAAGAATATTAAAAGTATAAAAAAGTTTTTCATAAATATCTTTAAAAATTTATCTGACACAAATAAAAACAAAAATATAGTTGAAAAGTTGTTTAAATTGCCTATCATGCTGTATAGCTTTTATATATTATATTTGATTCAAAATATTTATAATGTCCTTTAGATCTTTATAGTAAGTTTATTCTTTCTTTATTTTGTATTTGCTCCAAAAAAAAAACATACAACGATTTAAGGTAATTAATTTAATAAATTAACCAGTTTTCAACTTATTTAAATAATCTAGTAAAAAAATTAAATATATACCTATGAGTCTATTAATAAATCCATCCTCCTTGATAAAATTTCTTTAGCAGCATTGACATTAAAATAAGTCACATTCATTTCTTGCAAAGTCAATATAGATTCTTCTTTCATCAAAGGATCTGCTAAAGACTCTTGCAGCAACAAGGCTGAGCCTTTTGTTATATTTAATAATGTACAACTATCCAACAACCTGGAAATTAAATAAAATAAGCACCAAGTCTGAGAATAACACTATTAAATAATACTATTATTTATTATTACTAACTTTTTAAAATTCCTAGATGTTTCGTTATCGACATGAAACAAAGGTACAAGACCTCTTTCAACATCGTATTGAATTTGTTGAGCACCCCCGACTGAAAATTTGTTCTGACAAATTAATTCTTCATGTAAAATGTATCGAGTAATGCAACTGTGCGATTTCTGACTGCTAAAAATAGTGGAGCAGCTAATGAGATTCTTGCATGATTTAATCGAGCACTTAGAACCTACAAAAATGAATTATAAAATGTAATAAAAATAGTAAAATTGTAAAGACTGTGTTAAATTTTACCTGTAACATTGAACAAGCGGTTTGAGATAGACACAGTTCTTCTTTAGCCAAAGGTCCTGGCATTGCAAACCATCTGAAAAATAAATTTTGTTATGAAAATGTTGAAAAATGACCAATAAAAGACCAGTCTAAGTAAAAATTTCAAATAAATGTCTTCAAAAATGCGCTCAGGTTGTGACTTTACAGGAAACATTTTAGAATTTTGAGTAATTTTGAAGTGGATTTTTTGGCATTTGTTAAAAATATGCAAAAATACATAAATTTTATTTTATACAGATAAAAAGCTTATAAAATTCACTATGCAACTGCATTTACCACTTTTCTACTTTTGGAACAAAAACCTTGTGAAAAAAATCGTCAAACTTTAAAATTGTATAACTTAGCAAACAAAATGTATGTGCATTTTTTTCGCATTTGTTCAGAATGTGCAAAAACTTGTTAAAATACATAAATATTATTTTGCACAGATAAAAAGCTTATACAAGTCTCTACGTAACTGCATTTACCACTTTTCAACTTTTGAAACAAAAACTTTAGGAAAAAAATCGTCGAACTTTAAAATCATACTTTGCTAACAAAATGTGTGTGCATTTTTTGGTAATTGTTTAAAATGTGCAAAAACTTGTTAAAACACATAAATTTTGTTTTATATAAATAAAAAGCTTGTGCAATTCTCTATGTAACTGCATTTACCTATTATCAACTTTTGGAACAAAAACTTTATGAAAAAAGTTGTCAAACTGCAAAATTATATAAAATTGCAAGTAAAATGTTTTTGCATTTATTGACATTTGTTTAAAATGTGCAAAAACTTGTTAAAATACATATATTTTATTTCATACAAATAAAAAGCTTATGAAATTCTCTATGCTACTGCATTTACTAATTTTCAACTTCCAAAACAAAAACTTTAAGAAAACAATTGTGAAACTTTAAAGTCTTATACCTTTGGCAACAAATACCCCATATAAGTAGAGTTCAAGTATCAAACTCAAATAAAAGTATTCACAAGTGCGTTTAGACGTGACTATTTTGCTATATTGCTGCATTGTATTATTAATTAAAAAAATAATTTTATTATTTACCTGTCTTTACGGTATTCCAAAGATTTTAGCTTTAGCACTTAGAACTATGCTATCAGACAAAGCATTTATATGATCAGTACAGAATTTTTCTAATAACTCAATCGAACTGTGGAACACCGAACAGGAGTCTTGCTCAAAATTCAACAAAGAATCTTCTGTTAACTTTATTGGTGATGTTGGAGTCTCGGCCAACAAAGAATTCATTTGGCACTTGAAGTAGTGTAGTTGGAGATAATGCTAAAAAATAATATACACGTACAGTAGAATCCGATTAGTATGACGCCGGATATATTGACAACCGCTTATTATGACGTAATCGCACTAGGAATTTGGTTTCCATATAAAATTCATTAAAAAAAACAGGTGTCTAGTCGGATATATTGACATCGCTTACATTGACATGTCGCTTATAATGACCCATTTTTGCAAAAAATTATCTCCAATTATAATGACCGACATTACTTTACATGATGTGGCCAAGTCTACGAAAGCAATTGCTATGTTTTTTGTGCACAATAGCACCAGGGACTGTTTTTACAATAAAATTATGTAAAGAAATCAATCAAAAATTACTGATTACTTACATTAAAAAATCACATTTGTATGTTTATGGGTAGGGTAGTCCAATTATTAATGGCCCACCACGGATATCTCATAAACAAATAAAATTAGATTTTTTTAACAATTATATTTGATAGTAGAGGGCGAAAAATGTATAAATTCATAACCAGCCATCACCTTTATTCTTATGACTTTGCTATCAGAAGATAAGCGGCACATGACTGCGATAAAAAGGACCAGCTGAACCTTTACTTTGGCAAAGGTGTAGGCAATAAAATAGTAAAGTTTAAAAAAAGCAATTTTACAAGAGATTAATTGAATAAATTGTTATTCCGGATCTTCTGATGAATATTTGTGACCAATAGCAGATCAATGTAATATACTGTGTTATCTTTGTAACAAATGTACCCACAGAATTAATATTTTGCATTGGTTCAATAATGTAGCATAAAATGCCTTTAAAATTTAATAAAAGAAATTGCATCTGTTCGCCCCCTGGTTGTTCCACTTTACCCCGTATGTGAAGTAAAATGAGTCAGATACCAAATGTTTAAAAAATAGTAAAAAATATAATATTTATATAATTAGGAATTATGTACGTATGTATGTAAGTTTTTCTGAACATAGTTCGATAGATGCTTCTTTGATGTATGTTATGTGTTGTTCATTGGGTTTAGACAGTATAATTACCGTAAGTCAAATTGGACCGTTGTGCCCCTGCCCTACCCTATGTCAATTTTATTTTATATTAAATTTTGATGTGTCATTTTTATTTTTAATTAAAACGTTTGTATAGGCTTTTCTTTTAAATTACTGAAACATGTAACATATTTGCATATTAAAAAGTTTTTCTTCAGTACGCTTTTAATGACGACCGGTTAGTATGACGAGATTTCGGCGTCCCTTCGATGTCATACTAAGCGGATTATTCTACTGTAGTTCAAAGTAAATTTCCTTTTTTTTCTTGTTATGTTTATACTTACAATATCGCATCCCCATTCGGTGAGAACTTTAACAATATAGTGCACTGTGTTTAAAATCTGTGGGAGCCTTGATTTGCTCTCTATACATTTTGCAATATCATCAGCACAAGCATCCAATTGCTCATGAGAAAGTTGCATCAAACGGACACGGAGATCATCAATTAATTCTAATTGCAAATCTAAAAACTGCAACCTAGAAAAAAACTAGCTGTAAGTGGAATTCTGTCTTGAGGCAATTATGGTATCGTGCCTTAAGGCAAATTGCTGGAACTTCCCGTACGGTAACGAAATGTTTGGGAATACTGAATGTTTTCAAATAGATTATTATAAATATTGTAACATTGTCTAATATTTATAAGAATTATATAAACTGAATTGCAGAGTTGAAATTATTTGTAAAGTATATTAGAACTATAGTCAGAATTAAAAATAAAATCTGAAATATTTTCGATATACAAAAAACTAAAAAAAAAAAAAAATTGGAAATTTTTTTTTCCATAATCAATTATTTTGTTAAGACAAGCAGAAAGTTCTTTGAATCATTTAAATCGGACGCTTAGTTCTCTCAAAAACTGCCATTTTTTACATATTTAGCTCCGTATCTTCGAAATGGCTGGGCCTGCCTTTGCCAAAAACTAATAAACACTTCTCCCAATCATTACTAATTGAATGCTTTTTAGATCATTCAAATCGGATACTCCGTACTCTCAAAAACTCAATTTCTATTTTCTGCATTCTTTGCTCCATATCTCCGAAACGGCTGGACCTGCCTTTGCCAAAAACTAATCAGCTCTTTTCGCTATCAATAGGAATCGAATGTTTTTTAAACACACACACACACACATCCATTTTTTCTGAGGTATGCCAAAACGTTCAGAAACCTTCAAAACGTCGAGAAATGTAAAAATTTTCAATTCCGATTTTCGGCCCATTACAATAACTTACCCTACGGGAAGTTAATAAAATAGACTCTCATTTGATTAAAATATGAAGTAGATATTTTTTTACCTGTGTCCAGGTTGTCGTAGCATTTCATAACGCTCCCTTATCGAATGTTGTAAACTGAGAAAATTATCAGCAAGTTTTGTAGCCTTCAAAGGACATGCCGTATCATCTTCAGCCTCGTGGGGATTTAAAGGTTGCCAAGCGTCATCAGTATTCAACGACAACATTATATCAACCTTTTCAGTAGCATCTACAAACAACATGCATTACCCCAAGTGTTCATTACAATATTCACTTTATATTTTACATTTTTTCTCCATGGCCAGCCATCTAGTAAAATAAACACCCTGCGTAAGAACTGCTAAGACAGACATTGCATCAATATCATCATCAGCAATCGTTGGATTGTCGTTTAGAATTATTGCAAGTTCTTTGTGGAAACCTAAACACTCGTCAACTAGATGTGCAAATAAATCTTCTTGATGCATTGTTATTCGATCTAGATCTGAATGCAGTTTTTCCACTGCAAGTTTTGCTATGCCTTTGGCAAATTCTGCCTAGAGATAAAAGAAATATATGAAATAATATTATAATAGTGTTTGGTTTTTAATTTTTATTACCTTAGCATCGATGTGGCTGTAACCGGTTTTATCAAAAACAGGCTGGACGTTCTGTTCCAAGAATTCTTCATGACTTTTGATCCAGGTTAGTACTTGTGTTAGGTACCATTCAGGTTTATCGAGTCTGTTTGTTTGTCTTTGCCCGTAAAAATGGAACATGAATCTGTAATTTATGAAAAAAAAACAAAACTTACAAAGCTAAATTAAGCCCTTAAAATATTAAAATCATATGAAAACTAGTTTAATTATAATAATTAATTTAATGTTACAATAATGAAAAGAAGTCTTTCTTGCAAATTCATTGCAATTTCACAAAATTTTCTAAATTTCCAGATAATTTATACGAGTTTCAGAAAATTTGCAACATTTTTATAAAATTTACAACATTCTTAGACAATATACAACATTTTGAGACTTTCTTCAACATTTTTAGAACATTTACAACATTTTCAGAACATTTACAACATTTTTAGACAATTTACAACATTTTTAAACTTCCTTCAACATTTTCAGAACATTTACAACATTTTTAGACTTCCTTCAACATTTTGAAAACATTTACAACTCTTTCAGGCACTTTACAACATTTTCAGACAATTTACAACATTTTTCAGACAATTTACAACATTCTTAGACAATTTACAACATTTTTAGACAATTTACAACATACTTAGACAATTTACAACATTCTTAGACTATCTACAACATTTTCAGGAAATTTACAACATTTTCAGACAATTTACAACATTTTTAG